CAAAAAATAGAAAGTCTACCCACACCCCCAGGTTCGAGTAGCGTGTCCAGCACTTCCCAAGTGGGAGCCCCTGCCTACGTCAACAGCCCTTGCTACTCCTTCCTTTGCATTTATGTGCCAGTGTTTTCCAATTACTTAGAGTTATGCATCATCACATGCTTTCTTCCTGTCAAAACCACCCGCACGGTTTCTCTGCCCAGAATACCCTTGTGCCCTCATTTATCTGACTTGCTCTTACAGTTTTTTAAGATTAAGCTCATATGGTTTCTCTGTTTTATTGAACCAGGGACGTTCCTGATAGTGACTCTCCTTATACTGACCCAAGCTGAATGGTCTTCCCTTCCCTAAATAAAGTATGTCATTCCAACGTGTGTGACATTTATATATGTTACGGGTTGTATGATTGGAGGGGTGATACAGATTATGCTTGGATATGATGGGTGCAGAGTGTAAGTTTAAGGTGTGTGTCATTGGACTCATTCCTTAAACAAGTCTCTAAGGAAATGCATGCATTTTAGATAGGTTAAGGCATTATGTTTCTTGAGGAATAATAAATTAAGTAGAAGATAATGGCAGAAATGAGGTTATCTGATAATAATCATTTTCACTAGGCAGACATATAGAGTGGGATATGGGACTTTAAAATGTAACCTTCAAGAATGGGTCTCAAGACTTAAATTTTGTCAGAAGAAAGAGGAAGTAAATTGCAGAAGGAACTGTTGAAGACACAAGTAAGTAACGTCCATGAGAATTCTGTTTGCTAAATGGGGAAGAGAGATACAGAGAAAGATAAACCTTCACTTCATATAATTTTGCCTCGAACAGGTATGGGGAGGAGAAATGTGAAACATTAAAGTACCCTGTGTTCTCTAGCCTCCTGCATTCTTTAATGACTCTAGTCTTGAAACAATTGGAGAAAAGACCAAGGTCATAACATTTTCAGTTAGGTGCCTCATTCCTAGTCCTAGACGTCTAGCCCCAATGAGTAGCCAAGGAATCTAGGTTGGTCATCATGTTCCAAGAGCAGCTCCTCAGCTTTGCAATTTTCCAGTGCACCTGGGGATGAGCAGACACTGGGGAGATGATGACCTATAGTAACCAAACTCACAAGAGATTAGTGTTAAACCAGTAGTTCTGTACCAATAATCAATTTGCAGATGAGGAATACTGGTTGTTTCTCTCAGTTGATAAAAGCTGCTTCAAAATGTAGGGTGTGGGGCACCTGGATGGCTCAGTCTGTTAAGCGTCAACTCTGGATTTCAGCTCAGGTCATGACCTCAGGGTCATGAGATCCAGCCCCACATCCAGCTCTGTGCGGAGTTTGGAGCCTGCTTGGGACTCTCTCTCTCCCTCCCCCTCTCCCTCTGCCACCTGCCCTATACTCTCACAAGCTACCCCTCTCTAAAACAATGAAAACAAAAACAGACAAACAAATAAACCAAAAATAAAATGTAGTGGCATATTTTGTGGTAGCATATTCTGGTTGCCTATACTTATATTCCAGAGTGGTCTATTCTGGTCTCCCACAGTAAGTTTTCACAAATACCTCACTCTAAAAACTCTAAAAATTCCTTTTATTAAAGGGTTAAAAGATGGTGGTTGAAACCACATGGAAAGAAAGTGGCTTTAAGCACAATTAATATAATAGTTTTGTGTTGTTGCTTGGTTTTTCCCACATCCACCTTCCCCCATTTGGATGGCTGCATATTCATTTCCTTTCTGGAACTATCCCTCCCCTGCTTGTGTGCAGTACTGGTGGGGTTATCCGTCAGGGTTTTGAATCCCCTCTCCTGAGTCAAGTGACGGTCATGAGATGCAAACTAGGCCAACCAGACTCTTTCTTATAGGAGACCAGAATGTACTACCCGAAAAGATGGCTCTTTGGCACAAAGATGATTTTGAGCTGATTATTCTGAGAAACAGAAGACAGAGGAGAAGCTCTGAAAGCAGCCTATAAATCACCCATTTACAAATAAGGGACATTTATCATCATAGAGAAAATCTCTATCCCTAAGGGTGTTTCCCTATGTCTAGTAACAAGATACAGATGACTCTAAATCACAAGAAACTCTTACCAATGGAGAAAGCACAGGCTTAACTCTGCAAAACAAACTTTGTTTACTCTACTTTCCCTGCCAACTTCCTGGAGCCTGCCTTCCCCACACTCTTCTTCCTTTGTTTTAGCTGAAGATGGTCTGTTAGCCCAAGGTCTCACCACCTCTTGGAATGACCTTTCCTGATGTGAAGAACAAAGGCAAAAGAAATCTAGAAAGAAAATTAAATTTCCTTACAACTTGCAGCCCATTGACAAGTACTTGGGACAGGCAGAGTGACCTTCTTCTAAGAGCACAGCTGCCCTCAATGTTAATACTTGGTTAGAGGAAAAAGGTAACCTTAGCCTGACATTACCTCAACCCCCAGGATCCTGTAAGTCTCCTTTAACATACAAAAATCCCTTTGGAGGGGCGCCTGGGTGGCTCAGTCGTTAAGCGTCTGCCTTCGGCTCCGGTCATGATCCCAGGGTCCTGGGATCGAGCCCCGCATCGGGCTCCCTGCTCGGCGGGAAACCTGCTTCTCCCTCTCCCACTCCCCCTGCTTGTGTTCCGTCTCTCACTTTGTCTCTCTCTGTCAAATAAACAAATAAAATCTTTAAAAAAAAATCCCTTTGGAAACTTCCTTTATCTCTACCCCATCCAGGTTATATGTTAGCAATAAGTCTCCAAGCGTATGTCCCACCGATAGACGTCTGAAGGGTATCATGACTCATGTTGTACTGGACGATAATAAACGACCTCATCTTAACAGCAGCTAGCCACTCAAGGTCCGAAAACCCTTGCTTCCAAATTCCTTAGAGACTTTGGCTATCCCTAACCCAAACCCGACTTAATAGAATCAGCCGCTACTCACAACCCCAGTGCCACGCTTTCTGCCCACGGGTCCTGTCCCCGTACATTACTAAAACCACCATTTTTGCACCAAAGATGACTCAAGAATTCTTTCTTGACCATTTGCTCCTGGACCCTAACATCACCACATTTCACACCAATCCCTTCATTTCTCCCATGTGTGTATGACATATCCGTGCTAATAAACTTCTGTTTGTTTTTCTTTTGTTAATCCATCTTCTGTTATAAAGGCCATAGCTGAGAAGGAAGGAGAGAAGAGAAAGATTGCTTCTTCCTCTACACTATCTTCTGAGACTGAATCTCTAATAGTGATGCAAGTAATGTGGGAAACAAAGGCAAAAGAAAAAGTTAAATTTCCTTACTTCCTACAGCCCATTGACTAGTCCTTGAAACAGGTAGAGTTGATGAGGGAGCAGAAGGCTAGCTGAGGACAGGCAGAACCTGACACCCCACAACCACCCCCCTCCCCATGAGATATATGTGACATTCCTCAGGCACTTCTGGCTGCCCTGAAGGAAAAACAAATAGTTAACTTATAGAGATTACAATCCTGCAAGACATGAGTCTCCCTCAGTTTACAAAAGTCTTAGCAATTTACAAGAACAGAGCGTTTCTATCAATGTCTAGTTTCCAGGAGGGAATGTAGATACAATTAAATGTCCTTATAATCTGCCGTCCATTGACAGATACTTGAAGGGGGCAAAGTGTAATTTCCTCCAGGAAGTTCCCACCTATCTTACTGTCAATGCCTTACTCGAAGGAAAGACAATCTTAACAGGTAATGGCAAGGCCTCCGGTATCCTGTGAGTCTTCTTTAACATACAAAAATCCTTTTGAAACCTCCCTTTTCCTTACCTCCCCCAATTCCCAAGTATATATTCAGCCACACCTCACAAACCTGGGGCAGCTTTTTCTACCCACGGGTCCTGTCCCCGTGCTTTCATAAAACCACTTTTTGCACCAAAGTTGTCTCAAGATTTCTTTCTTGGCCCTTGGTTTCAAACCTTAACATCTTTCCTATATCATCTACACTGGGAGGGTGATGCACCCCAACTCCATGAAGAAAGAAGCTCCTTCACTAGGGACCCTCCCACCTTACCCTTGGTATCTCTTTATCTGGGTCTTCATCTGTCTCCTTTATCATATCCCTTAAGAAACTGATAAACCATCAGTGTTTCCTTGAGTTCTGTGAGCACCCCAAAAATGTAGTGGAACAAATAAAGGGTTGGGGGAAGCTCAGATTTATAGCCAGGCAGTCAGAAGCACAGGTGACAAGCTGGACTTGCAATTGGCAACTGGACCGGGGGAGTCTTGTGTGTTTGTGGTGTGTTTTCTCCTGAAGAACTGAAATCAGGGAGCTCAAAACACTAAAGCTTCAGGGAAGGAAGCACTCGGATATCAGGAAGTCATCATTTCCTCACAACTTCTTTGAGGAAATTATCACTTCTCCTTTGTTCCTTTAAATAGGCTTGCTCTTCCTGTGTCTGCAGGGATACTGGCTTTAAACAGTGAGTTGGAGGGTGTGGGTCTCATCCACACTGTGCACAAGAAGTGCATCTTCCAAGCCCTACATTCCCTTTCTTCTTTCCTATGGCTCAGAACCCTCCCCTGCTGCACGCAGACTGCGCTGGCACACCTGAAAGAGCAACAGCTGACAAAAGCCTCTGTGCCTGGGACTAACCACTGCCTCTGATCTCAGCGGGAGCCCCAGCACAGAGACTGGTAAGAGGAGAACCCCGGGGGCTGGGGAGAGTAGAGCCGTGAAGATGGCCAGAAGGTCCAGGTCACATAGATGGAGGAAGGAGGGAAGAGACAAGGTTCTGGACCAGTAAGTACAGGACAAAGAGAAGAATGGGATCTGCCAGTCAGAGGAAAATGGGATCTGCCAGTCTTACCTCACATTCCTCCTCCCTGCGCTTCAGGTCCTTCATAGAATGTGAGACTCTAGTCAGAAGGAAGATGGTTTAAAAAAATTTTTTTGACGAATGAAATCTTGAAAGGAGCAATAAAGATCTAAATGGTTGTGAATAATAATTTTGCTCTTATGGCTTCTAATACTGTCATTCTCTCATTTTCTTTCCTCTTCCTACACAGAAAAGATGATGCTGGATCTTCTGGGACCCTTTCCTCTCCTCCTGTTGCTACTGGGATCATGGGGGTCAGTGCATCCCCTTGGTGCTTGGGCTCAACGCCCCAGCAGAGCTCAATGGTTTGCAATTCAGCATATAAGTGCGGGTCCTGTCCAATGCAACAATGCAATGTCTGTTGTCAATATTTATAATCAGCGCTGTAAGCCTCAGAACACCTTTCTGCAGGACTCCTACCACAACGTGGCTGCTACCTGTCTTTTGCCGAACAGGATCTGCAGGAATGGCCAGAATAACTGTCACCAGAGTGCAAATCCTATTAGAATGACTTACTGCTATCACACTGGAGGGTCATATCCCAACTGCCGCTACAGTACTACTCTCCAGAACCAGCTCTACACTGTTGCCTGTAACCCCCCTCAGCCAGGCGACCCTCCCTATCCTCTGGTTCCTGTACACTTAGATTAAGACTAAGGTTTCCATTACTTTCCCTCTCACTTGGTGTAGGTTCTCTTATGATCTCTTCTGCTTTTTTTCCCCTTTGTTATTTTCTGTGGTTTCTGTAGAAGAAAGAAGGAGGGGAGTGGGAGAATTAGAGGGAGAAGATGCCAGACCAGAGTTGGGGACAAAAGCAAACAGGATTCTTTTCTGCTTTGGAGCTTTGTGTTTTGATGGAAGACAACAGGGAAGAGGGAAAAGAAAGACCCAGGCCCCCTATTTTTAATCTTGGAACTTCTGCCAAGCTTTGTTGCATTGTGTTCATAGCAATAAAATCACTTTCTGTTCCATTGTAATGACCATGAGTGTGTGTGTTTGGGATGCTTTTCACATCATTGCCAGCCTGGGGCCATCTAGATTGCATTTGTAAACATTCTCAGGGGAACTATGTGGGCCCTAAGCGACTTTTGAGGTTATTCAGCAACCCAAGGCTTCTTCTGCCACTTCTGCCACCCCTGTGTCCCTGGGACTTTGAGCAAGAGTGTTCTCCATCCCTTCAACTCTGCTCATGGCTTTTACATATTTCCCTTGAAATCACGGTCTATGTTTATTTGGAGATGGCATGGATACCTCATAGAGTGTCCATAGTACTTTCACAAACAGGTTCTAACCCTGACAACCGATGCATCCTACATCTTTACTATTGGATCCCATATTTCATCAGATAATGTTTTGAATATAAGTAGTAGTAGGGATAATAATCCACTGTAGCCTTAGAGTTACTTCTCCCATGGTTTATTGGAATGCATGAAGACAAAGCATAGATCAAGAAAAAAAAAAAGCACTGGGGATATTGTAAATTTCTCCCTTTATGTCTGTTAATATTTACTTTATGTATTTAGATGCTCCAATGTTGAATGTAGATATTTACAATTGTTTAAAAAAAAAAAAGCACTGAGGTACTAAAAACATTCCTGCCTTACCTAAATACTGAAATATCACAGAAGTAACGGTGTTTTGGAAAAGGTAGAAGATTTAGAAATTGAAAGACTGGGATTAAGAATTTGGCTGGGATTAAGAATTTAGGTCCTAATTGTAGGGGAGGAAAAATAATTTTTCCTCTACCATTTCAGGTTCTTGGCTGAGAGCCCCTCAACTTCATTGTATTCCTGCTCTCTCTGCCTCTCTCTCTGTCAAATAAATAAATAAAATCTTAAAAAACAAAAGGCAACTTCATAGGACAAAAACTATTTTAATTATGTACATACATACGGGAGCCCCAGAAAAATATTAGACTTAAAAGCAACTAGCCAATTGAGTCTTATGGACCATCCTGACTATGGAAAGGATAGGGATCTAGGTCTTTAAAAGGGGGGAAGACAATTCAGAGGAAGGTGAGAGGAGGCAATGTTTGGGAAAGGAAATTTGCCCTCCCATGCAGATGACTCTCTCAGATGAAAGCGATCCCTGTAATGGCTCACTTCCTGTTACAGGCCCCTTTCTAATGTAAATTTCCCCTACAAAAGGGTAACCTCCACTCTGCTTTCAGAATTTCTTCTGGTCAGCACTTTCTCAAAATAAACAGCTTAACATTATGCTTATGCCAAAAAGGCATATTTAAGGGTGGCATATTTTGCTAATCCTGCATACCTTTCCCTTTCCTTGTCCACTACTAGATTCACAGGGCTAGCAGGCCAGTGTAAGTCAAAGTGCTTTGTAGATTGATCTGTCTTTGAGTAGCAGCCAAACATAATTCCTATCAGAAAGGCCACCTACTGAAGAAGTTACTAGTGTATCAATTATCTGCACTGCAGAATGGTTCTTTCCAAATCGAGCGAGTCCTTTAACAGGTGTGCTACTTGGACTCATCTTCCTTCATGCCACATATTTATGTCATGTCCTAGAAACAAAGACAGAAATATGAAGTTTCAGGTTTCAGGAGTCTGGATTCCAAGGGTGCTAAATACTGAAGGCCCCTCTCAGTGGGAAGACATAAGAAGGCCAGGACAACTTGGCACTTGAGAAAGTTGGTACCCAGTAGGGGAACTTATCTGGTGGGACTTGAGTCCTCCAATTTAGAGCAGCTTTCAATAGTATTCATCTTTGGGGCACCTGGATGGCTCAGTCATTAAGCGTCTGCCTTTGGCTCAGGTCATGATCCCAGGGCCCTGGGATTGAGTCCCACATCAGGCTCCTTGCTCAGCAGGGAGCCTGCTTCTCCCTCTGCCTGCCGCTCCCCCTGCTTGTGTTCCTTCTCTTGCTGTCTATTTCTCTGTCAAATAAATAAATAAATAAATTTTTTTAAAAAAATATTCATCTTTAAGCTGTGTGGCATTTACATCCTATAGTTTCAAAGTCTTCAAGCCAAGTCCGGAGGGAGTGGACACAAAGATCTGTGCTCACGTTTGGTGTGAACCAGTGTAGGAAAGTAGCATTATCCTCAGGGAAAGGGGTCTTGAGATGGCATGCGTCAACCTGATCAGTAATCACAATGGACTTATGTACTCTATAAACATTACTTGGACATTTCAGGAGATTCTTGGACACAGTAACCTAGTAAAAGGCTGAATTTCCTTTCATTCAACCACTCAGTTACTCACTCTTTCTCAACCACTACTCAACTATGGTTATTTATACATTAGGGATCTCATAGATTAAAGAAATTGTGGGAGGGAGTAAGAATGAGGATAACTTGGGGAAAATCTTTTATGCCCAGAGGTGTTTGTTCTAAATTAATGGACCAGACCAAGATGGCCTCTCTGTCAGATTTGTATTACTCCTGCGTGCAATCATGTATTGTGGGAGAGTCAAGATGACTGACTAAATCAGATATTCATTTAGGTATATCCCTAAATCAGCTTCAATGACCTGACATTCTTTATAGAATGATCCAAAGTGGCAAAGCTTAGAAAGAAATTTAGCAAATGTTCCAGCAGCTCTCAACTCTGGTTTCATAGGAAATTCATCTGGGAGCTTAAAAAAAAAAAAATCAATGACAGGATCCCTGTGATATAGGAGAAAATATATATTGATTTCTGCCTCTGATTCCTGGCACAGAGCTCCTGAAACCCTTGTAAATTCCTAAGTGATAAGAGCACTGGGAACATCTTTGTTCTTTGCAGCCACCTGGGTGGTCCCTGGATAGGGCTGATCACCAAAAGATGGAGCCATGATTAAAAGCTTGGCAATTTCAGCCTAAACCCCATCCTCGAGGGAGGGGAGAGGGACTGGATATGGAAGTAATAATTGATCCTGCCTGCATGAGGTAGCCTCACAAATACATTTATGATGGGGGAAACAAATACAAAAGAAAAACTAAATTTCCTTACTACCTACAACCCACTGACAAGTGCTTGACAGAGGAAGAGTGACATTCTTCTAGGAACACAGCTGCCTCGATGTTACTACTTTGCCAAGGGCAGAGGAAAATCTTAGCCTGAAACCCAGGATCCTGTAAGTCTACTATAACATACAAAAAGTCATTTGGAGGGGTGCCTGGGTGGCTTAGTCGTTAAGCGTCTGCCTTCGGCTCAGGTCATAATCCCAGAGTCCTGGGATCGAGCCCCGCGTAGGGCTCCCTGCTCAGTGGGAAGCCTGCTTCTCCCCCTCCCACTCCCCCTGCTTGTGTTCCCTCTCTCCCTGTGTCTCTGTCAAATAAATAAATAAAATCTTTAAAAAATAAAAAATAAAAAAAAGTCATTTGGAAACCCCTTTGTCTCTCCCCAACAGGATACGTGTTGGCAAACATCCCCCAAATTTATGGTCCACTGATATAAATCTGAAAGGCCTCATGATTAAGGTTTTCCTAGAGCGTAATAAATGACCTTTTCCCAACAATAGCTTGTTCCCTCAAGGTCCTGGAAACCTTCCTTCCCAATTCTTTAGAGACTTATCCTATTCCTAACCCCCTCCCAACTTGAAAGTATATAATGGGCCCTCTTCATGACCCCAGTGCATCTCTATCTGCCCTCAGGTCCTGTCCCCCTGCTTTAATAAAACCACCTTTTTGCACCAAAGATATCTCAAGAATTCTTTCTTGGCTGTTGGCTTCGAACCCTAAAATCTTTCCAACATCATCTACACTGGGAGGGTGATGCACCCCAACTCTACAGCGACAGAAGCTCCTTCCTTAGGGACCCTCCCAGACCTTACTCTAGCTATCTCTTTATCTGGCTGTTCATCTTTCTCCTTATCATATCCTTCCATAAACTCATAAAGCATAAGTGTTTCCTTGAGTTCTGTGAGCGGCTCTAGCAAATCAATCCAATAAACAAGGGGATGGTGGGAAGCTCGGATTTATAGCCAGGCAGTCAGAAGCACAGGAGACAAGTTGGACTTGGGATTGGCATCTGGACTAGGGGAGTCTTGTGGGACTGAGCCCTTATCCTGTGGGATATCTCCAGGGAGGTAGTGTCAGAATTGAGTTAAATTGTAGACTATCCAGCCCGTGTGGCAGAGTAGCCTGCTGTAGGGAACCTCCCCCACATTCACATGTGGTGTCAGAAGTGTTGTGAGTGTGTTATCAGTATGACAGTAAAGGAGAGACACAGAAGTTGTCCCAACTCAATCCCATTAAATGAATTTTATGAACACTTAATAAACAACTAAATGAATTTATGAGGATGGGGCCTGGGCTTTATGGAATTTTTTTTTAAAGGTCCCTGCCTGACTCTAATGGGCAGTCTGATTTAGGAACCACTGTCCATCTAGAGGTAGGACCACTGGGCAAGGAGGGACGGGAAGAGGAGGAGGTGAGGGGAAGAGAGAGACCACATATAGCCCACAAAGGTGAAATAGTTACCACAATGGCCAAACTATGCAAAGAGCCCGGATGTCCATGGACAAGTGAATGTATAAAGAAGATGTGATATATATATACAATGGAATATTAGCCACCAGAAAAAGAAATCTTGGCATTTGCAACGATGTGGATGGAACTAGAGGGAATTATGCTAAGTGAAATAAGTCAATCAGAGAAAGACAATTATATGATTTCACTCATATGTGGAATTTAAGAAACAAAACAGAGGAGCATAGGGGAAAGGGGGGAAAAGAAAACAAGATGAACTCAGAGAGGGAAATAAACCATGAGAGACTCTTAACCATTGGAAACAAACT